TCACACGACGACACAGATCGCGTATTTTTAATATTTTTTGTGTGCCCATAAAGTTTTTTATGTTGTTTTTCCCCCAAATTAAACTTCCTTAAGAGTTCATACCAGGCCCTGGTCTTTTTTAACAGCTCTAATAAAGTTATTAAACTGATGCCAGTGTTGTTCATGACCATCATATGACAGTTTTTCCTCTCTGCTCTATCTTTATTGACACCAGAAGGCACAATAATGCGTCAGTGTTTATGAAGCTGTGAAAAACATTGGAGTAATTGTGTCCACAGGGACAGAGAAAATGAGTCTCATGCTTAAATCAGGATCTTTGTGTGAGAGTCACACATTCAGCAGCTAAACTGTGCAGAGTTATTTTTATCAAGACTGAATCAAATGTACATACTGAAGAAAGGAATTTTTTATATTATGTATTATTTTGAGTGACCTTTACACCTGAAATATGGAATTGGCTCAAAGGACCCAACATCAGTGCAATAAAAAGAAATGGCATTTTTGGAGCCATTTTTCATTGTGATTGTCCATGTTGATGTAGAAGTCACTAATGTGGAAGAAAACCATAGAAGAAGACAAATATCTCACAGCGATATGGACGTTTCGAGGTTTATGCACCATCAATGTTGCCTCAGTTAGATTCTGGTTTTATGTAAATCTGCTTATTGTGCAGATACAAACCCATTAAAGCTGTGAAAACTAACTCACTACTTGTATTCGCCACATTATGTAATACGACAGTAACTGATGCATGTTGCTAACAGATTACATTGGAATAACACTGACATGTTTATGGAAAGCTATAAATGTCTCTGTGGGACTTATGGTAATTAGACGGGCATCGAGTAAGATGTAAATGCTATTTAAAACATTTTATCACCATAAATATCACATTTCCTGGTCATTCCAGCTAGCCTGGCAAGCCAGACTAAATAAATGAATTATTTGCAAAGCAAGAATTTGGTCTAGTTCACTAGGCTACATTCCAGCAAGATTACAGTGAATTTCTACAATGTAATCAAACAAAAGATACTTTATTGACCCCAGAGGGAAATTAGAGTTTCTGTACACACAATTCAGAGATCAGACATACATGGGCAAGACACATGACAAGAATTGGTGACTGTGGTCATTCGCAACCCTGAGTCGCGCTACCTTAATAGAGATAAGAGGGTTACATGAGGATTGGTTCAGGTAGAGGGAAAAAAAAGGCACTTCAGAGGTACCCTCCACCAGGAGGGCAGCTTTGCTCTGCAAAAAAACACCTCAGACAGATACGCAACAGACTTCAGACAACACAACATAAGTGTCCACTAGGTGGGGTGGTGGGTTGGGATTATCCACACTTCAGTTCCTGCAGCCACGATAAGCAGCGCATGTCACCTCAGTGTGGATAGGGGGAGGAGCATTGAGGGTTGGAGGGTTGCAGTGACCCTGGAACATTTCAGCGGCCTTCCCGCAGTCTCGCCCAGGCTGGGAAAGGAGACAGAGTTGAGTTGCCATAGCGACGGCACATTCCACATTTCTCTGAGGGGGGAGTTTTCGTTGGAGCCTTGCAGGCTCAAGGGCACCAGATTCCGATTAGAAATTGTTTTGGGGCCAGACAGAGATAATTTCCTCTCTTTCTTACAGTACCTTGGTCCTCAACCTCTCAGAATCCCAATAATGGACATTAATCTATCCCAATCCGTGCTGATTCGTCCACTCTCTCCTTGATGGCATCCATCTTCTGAGCCAATAATGAAAATCCGCCAAAGTCCCAAGCTCACGATTCATAATTATGTGAGTCTGTGAATTCACAGCATGGTGCAAACCATCTCTGAGCTCCGGGATCAGGCCAATATTCCTCGACAGCTCGTTAATTTCCGGGAAGCCAGGAAGCCTCCAAGGCCAATGAGCAGGAAACCTGACACCAACACCACGAATATCCACACGTCTTCAGAGTCCTCCACAGACAGCTGAGAAGACAGATCCAGTTCCACTGTTTCCAGGAGTCCATGATGTGTCCAACTGGGTCTGTCCCGGCGGGGCATCCGGGAGCCCCTTCTCCCGTTCTCATCGTTGAAAAAATGGTATCAATCTAATCGAATACAGTAGCAAGCACCGCAAGTAATATTTGCTGCACATAACCATAAAATTATTTGTAAAAACCCAAATTGTGTGGCTTGAAAGATTATAAAATAACATTTTCAAGAACTATGGTCAGAATTTCTTTATTTCTCCAAACTGAAGTAATCTGAACAGTGATCAAAACTTACATGATGACTCACTGTTAGATTAAATCATTAAGTCACCATGGAAACAACAATCTCCACTGAGGCATCCAATTTTTTATGTGTAAACAGCAACAAAATGTCTCCAAAAATCTTAACTCATTACTTTAAAGGCAAATTTGTAACAAATATACTCAGACACCAACGTTGTAAAAATACCAAAGACAAACACAGACTTGTACAGCTATTCTTAATAGGACTTTATGTCATGACCAGAACTTGGAAGACCCGTGATGACGCCAAACACAGTAAAAAGTTCAATAAAAAATCTTTATTAGATGTGGCGTTACCGAAGAGGGCGAGGCAGGAGACAGAGTCGGAGAGGAGGCGTGGGGTCAAAACCAGATCGGAACAAGCAGGTACAGGGAACAGGCTGGAGACGTGGTAGAAGACGGGCGAGGGTTGTGGTGGCAGGCAGAGTTCAAGGCGAGAAAACGAGGTCCGGAGGCTGTGATCAGGCAAGGTGAAAGGCTGGAAGATCTACTGGCAAAGAGCGTTCAATAATCTGGCAGGGACTGGTGGCTGGCTGGTGAATATATAGCAGAGGGAGCAGGTGTGTGTAAAGAGCTGATGACAGGGACAGGTGAGATGTATGAAGTGGCTGAAGGCTTGATGAGGAGGTAGCAGAGGCAGAGGAGGGCGAAAGACTGAGGCCTAGTCCACATGTAGCCGTTTTTTTTAAACGAATATCCGCCCCTCCAAAAACTTGCATCCACACCACCTCGTTTAAAAAAAACTCTGTCCACACATACCCAGATAAATACGTTGTTAAGGACATGCCAGACCTGTAGGCGGCAGTACTTCCCCCATTCTTAACCTCGTCCTTCGTCTGCGGTCTTCCACAAGCAGCAGTAATTCCGCTTGCAAAAGCAAACAAGCAGAAAGCGCTTGGACGATTAATAAAGCGAGCGCAGCTCTGAGGGCTTCCATGATGTCGGCTAGTGTAAACACAGGTCGCACACGTGATGTCAGCATTTTTTTGTCGCGGAAAGTGACGTTGCGGACCTTAAAACTCCGGTTTTGTCCGTCCACACGCAGACACCCAAAACGGAGAAAACGCAGATCTTCACTTTGGCCGGAGTTTTTAAAAAGATCTGTTTTCGTGTGGATGACGGGCCAAAACGTAGGAAAATATCTACGTTTTGGCAGATCCCCGGCTACGTGCGGACAGGGCCTGGGAGTCATGACACTTTATTGTTCCTTTCATTAGAGATGCTGTAATAAAAAGCCTAATCAAAGGTGTTTTGTATGATAATCAATGTCTAATCCAAGCCTTAACCTTAATCACAACTCAAATTCCTAGTTGACAGCAAAGAAATGACATGCTGCTGTTTTAGGACTGAGTTTGGTTCTGTAAACCTCAGATTTCAACCCAGTCAGGGTCTAGACCCAGTAGAAATGGTTTTTTAACACACACACACACGCACACAGAGAGCACCACTCTGTTAAACAGTCACACACTGACTCCTAAAGTGATTTTTATCATAATTGCCTGCGCCCCCTAAAAATGGCGTTTTTATCACGGCCTTCACAAAGCCAAAGAGCACTTTATTGTCCCCCACCTCCAGCAGCCTCCCTGTGTTCTGCCTCTCATTTCTCATCTTGCCTCTTGGGTGTTTTTCCACCGCCAAATTACAGAGAGAGAAATTTTATCTGGCCTTAGAACGTGGCCAAGACTGGAAAAATGCTCAGCGGTGAAACGCCCTCTAAACACATGCATATTCATACGCTGAAATGTCACATCCATCATGAATCTCCAAATGAAACTTCATGTGCCCGTGCATGTCTCCTTAAACAGGAGCTCATGTGCATGCATTTTCTATCTTAAGTGAACCTAATGTGAATGTTGTGCATTATATTAGTTGGACTCTCCGTCCCCACGGCTGTGAGTCTGCGTCCTCGTCCATCCCTGCTTTGTATCACGTCTGAGGTCAGCGATTTGGGAGCTGAGGGAAGCCGACAACACGGTTAACATGCACCTCGGTGCTCCCAATACTTGGCCTTGATAAGTTATCTGTTCACCTCCTCATGCAGCTTAAATCACAGCACCGCTATGAATATGGAAATGAAACCACGAGGGAGACAAAGGAGGACATGCGCTGAAGATCTGTCCTCTTTCACAAACACGGCTGATGGAAAAATAGGGCAGAGTGCTCGGACTTGGATCTGAACTGCCCATCAGCATAAATCAGTCATAACTCGCTGAAGACCTGGTGACCTCAAATGCAACACGCTGTCACAAACAAGCGTCTGTGTGTGTGAGTGTGTGTCTGATTCACTGCAAGTCTCAGGACTTGAATGCATTCTGAACAAAAATGCTGCAGAGTGACACAATCAGCATGTGCGTGTGCACATGTGACATTTGGCAGCACTTTAATTCCTCATAGACTTCCTGTGTGTTTGTTGGCAGCAGGCAGCCTCCTCCTCGTGTCCCGCTGTGATCGGAGATCTCCCAGTGACATCTTGAACAGCAATCAGCTCACAATGTCATGGACTATTTCCTAAACTTGTGTTTCTGTTGAAGGCTTGATTTTTTTTTGTGACGACGGGAAATCGTTCTGGACTGCGCTTAGCCTTTGCACGCACGCAACAAATAAAAAAGCCAACCCACCATGCTCTTCAAATTCACACATTTCCCAATTTCCCCCTCTTTGAAATCACGTCGCTGTCTTTTTCCATGATGCTCCGTTGTGTAAAAAAACAGGAAATGAAGGAAGCGAGAGTGACTCAGGCTTTTTCAAGTTGCTTTATTTCCAAACTGAGAGGGGGCTGATGACAGATGGAAGATTGTGAAGCTTAGACCAAGCAGCTTTGGTCCAAACACAGTTGGGGAAGAGACAATATAGAGAGTTTCTGGGGAAAGGGTGGTGATCGAGGGGCGGATCAATGCATTTGTCACCTTTAAGCTTTCGATTTAACTTTTTAACAAGTAAACAAAGCAGCTGTTTCACTGCGTTAGACTGCAGCTGGTTAATTGAAGTAACTTTGCAACTTATATTAACTGGAGCCAGGCATTAAAATGACCTCGGTGGTTTACCGTGGCTGTATTTTTGTAGCTAAAGTAGTTTGCATTTCAGGGAGAGGACATAACAGATTTAAACGACTGGCGAGAAGAATTAAACAAGTGCATGAAGCTCCTGTTTGATTTAATCAGTTGTGTGAATCTCCCAGCAGCTCTGTGTGATATGGATTGCAGCTTTAATGTCTAGCAAACCATTGACATTTCCATGCTCGATTACTGCTCCGAGTACAGTTTGACAACAGTAGCAGTGGTGGGGGGAGCAGAGATTTCCCCCCTGCAGATAACAGGATTCATACATGAATGTGCTTTTTGTCTCTGATGAAACATTTGATGCCACTATAACTAAATGAAACAATGACAACATTTGCATTTCAGGCTTTGCTTTATGCGCGTTATTTTTTTCTGGATTCTGACACGAACTCCAAACAGGCGTTGGGCTCATGAAGCATGAAATTGATGGCGAAGCCGGTTTTCCTCTGGAATGACAAACCTGTACAGTGTTCCACCTCTTTGATCGGTGTGCTTGATTCGTTCTACGAGGCTCTTTGGTCCCTTGAGGATGGTCACTAAGAAGCCATGCACTTGGATAATAAGACGGATAAACGCAGACTTTCTGTCTCCGTATGCTGATGATCTGTGCCTGTACGTCAATTTTACAGTAGACCTGTAGGTGGCAGCAGCCAGAGGAGGCAATGACTCTTTCTACAGGAAAAAATAATAAACACACACACAGACACATGCATGCACACACACACACACACACACACACACACACACACACACACACACACACACACACACACACACACACGCACACACACACGCATGCACGCACGCACACACACACACACACACACAAACGCATGCATGCACGCACACACACAAACTCACACATGTATGCATGCATGCACACATGCACATACGCACACACACAAACTCACACACACACACACGCACACACACAAACGCATGCATGCACACACACAAACTCACACACATGTATGCATGCATGTACACATGCACGCATGCACATACGCACACACACACAAACTCACACACACACACACACACACACACACACACGCATGCACACACACCCACACACATGCACACACGCACGCACGCACACACATGCACACACACACACATGCACACACGCGTGCATGCACACACGCACACACGCACACACACAAACTCACACACACACATGTATGCATGCACACATGCACATACGCACACACACAAACTCACACACACACATGTATGCATGCACACATGCACATACGCACACACACAAACTCACACACACACATGTATGCATGCACACATGCACATACGCACACACACAAACTCACACACACACATGTATGCATGCACACATGCACATACGCACACACACAAACTCACACACACACACACACACACACACACGCATGCACACACACCCACACACATGCACACACGCACGCACGCACACACACACGCACACACACACACACGCACATACGTGCACACACATTCATACAGGTCAGCAGAATTAGACAATTAAGAAATTGGTGTGTTGCTGCTGACAGCCCTTGTCCCAAAAAGTCAATAAGCCTGCGTTGCGCTCACATCTAAACACATTTTCTCTTCTTCTTTCTCATCACTGCCAATAATTTCTCCATCCATCTTTTCTTGCCTCCCACTAACAACCTGAAAGTGCCAACACCGAGGTCCACTGCAGGCAACAACGCGCCCGAGGTGCTGCTAAAGAGCCACTCAGCCACATGGTTCTCAGAATAACAACAAAAGAAGGGTGTAATTAAGGGGAACATCACACATGCATAATTGCATTATGCATCTGTCCTTTACAGTCACTGTAAATGTCAACCTGGTAAATACGGCTGCTTGTCAGGAAGCAGGAAAATAAAGTTTAAATAGGAATCTGTTATTTTTTTTATCTCCAGTCTTCGACAAACACACCTCCCACTTGGAAAAATCTCTGAGGAACGTTCAAGAGGATCAAAGCTGCTTTGATTGTTACTTAAATGTCCAGAGGCTGAGTTCCTCACTCTGTCAGTCCATCAACCTGATTCCAGTCAAACACAGGTAACAACGAGATGACGATGGATGTCGCGCCATCTTATTTCCACTTTTCAGCAACATACATTTGATTTTTCCCTCTGAGTCCAAAATGACCACTTTTATTTCACCCTGCAGGGCAGGAAAGGTGGAAGCCTGGACGCGTGTCCATTTTTGAGTCCTGCAAAGCCGCGAGCAAGGTGGCTTTTCCGCATGAAAATTCACAAGTTCCGCCTGAGAGGGTGGCCTTGTTTGTGCTATCACATCTGAGATCGTTTGAAACCTTCCCTTGTTGTTGCTCCTCAAAATCAAGTAACACATGTTTGCCCTGCGGCCGGACAAATTAAGACTGCCGACGTAAGAAATCACAGCTAACCTTGTGTCCTCCTTGTGCTCTGTGCTGATAAATAAAAGGCCTCAGGCTCACGGGAATCTAAGGTCACTTGCCTCCTAAATTCATTACTTCTGAAGTACTTATAAAACGTATATATTAAAAGGTCTTTATTTGCACTGAGAACTGAAATCAAAGTGTTTATTCTTCCTGCTTGTTGGTAGATTTTCGGAGTTGCGTGCACGTTCCATCCGACGCTGCAACATTTAGTGCCTCAGCCTCGCTTCACGACACAATCTGATCTGCAGACAAAACGTTGCATTCAAAATCTTATCAGCAATCCTGAAGTGCTGAGCAGTTTAATGCAGCCAGATCGCTTTTTCACGTCTTTTCTTTTCCGTCTCACACACTATAAAAGTGTGTGTTTGTCAGCTGCGAGCGGCGCTTACACAGTCCGAGCTGCACGTTACGGCTGAAAAAAAGCATTTGAATTTTACACCGGAATCTGCAAAGTTCAGCATGTTTCTTAAACAGCCCTTTTAGTGCTTTGAAAAATAGGAACTATTGTTCTTTTGTGCCTCAGAAGAATAGTTTTTTGTGTGTCTGTGCTTCACGCGACACAGTCACGTCCTAAAAGAAAGTACCCTTGGTGCTTTTGCACAATATCTTTTTGAAAGCCTTTCTGAAGTCTTTGTTGAAGATGGTGTAAATGACTGGATTGAGACAGGAGTTGCAGTAGCCAATCCAGAAGAAGAATGTAAAGAGCGGCTCTGGGATGACGCAGGTCTCTGGGCACACTGCTTGTAGGGAGTAGGAGAAGAAGAATGGGAACCAGCACACCACAAAGACGCCTATGACCACCGCCAGGACGAAGGTGAAGCGCTTCTCTCTGTTGACCATGGCTTTGCGCCGCGCAGCTCCTGGGTTGCTCTCTGTTTTTGACTTCCTCCCTGGCATTAGCCGCGCCCCCTTGGAGGTGGCGATCATGTCACGGTAGCGCTTGACTGAAGCTGGAGAGTTGATGCCCCCTCCAGCAGGTGACCCTGGCATGCTGGCACTGCCACGCCCCCCTCCCTGGCTGTGCTCCAGATCACTATCTGTGCTCGAGCTGTCTCCGTTGTTGTTGTCTGCCTTTTTGCTTTTTCCTTTCTTGCCCTTCTTGGCCTTTCCTTTAGCTTTGGGTTCGGGCGCAGAGGAAGGGCTTGAAGGGCCGTGAGGGGAGGTGTCAAGAGACGTAACAGGAGACACGGCCGGAGATGGAGGCTGGAGGAGGTTATTGGTGGTGGGGTTTGGGGAGTTTTGAGAGTCTCCTGGGGAAGGGGACGGGGTGATGGCTAGGGTGGGAGGTCTGGCGTTTGAGGTTTTGTTGGATGAGGGAGGGGTGCTCTCTTCATCATCCTTCCCGTTGGCTTGCATGTGTCGTGGGGGCTGACTGGGTGTCGCACAGCCGACCCCATCCTTCCTAGGCTCTCCTGGTGGGCAGCGTGTTCTCTGCTTGGCTATTTGATAAATTCTTAGATAGACCAGGATCATAATGAGGCACGGGGCAAAGAAGGAGCCTATGGTGGAGTATAAGATGTACCAGCGCTCATCATTCAGCTGGCACTGAGGCCCCCTGTTCCCAGGGTCATCCCCCTCACTCTTGTTAAGTGAGAGCAGAGGAGGGAAGGAGATGATGGCAGAGATCAGCCACACCACCACTATAGCAGCTTTGATGCGTCTGGGAGTCCGCTGGCGCCCATAAGTGACCCTGGAGATGGACAGATAGCGGTCCAGTGAAATAGCGCACAGGTGCACAATGGAGGAGGTGCAGAAGAGCACATCAAGGGCCAGGTAGATCTCACACCACAGAGACCTGAAGTACCAGTAGCCGAGCAGCTCATTGGCCAGAGAGAAGGGGATGATGAGAGTGGCCACTAAAATGTCTGCAGCAGCCAGCGACACCAGGAACAAGTTCTGCGGACCCCGGAGGGACCGACTGGTCAGGACGGCGATGATGACCATGATGTTTCCAACGATGGTGAAGACGATCATCAGGGTTATGGCGGTGGCAAAGGCCGCCGTGGCTTCAGGGGAGTAGGGGGCGAGCGCTCGGACGCTCTGGTTGCAGGGCACGGAGGGTCCGGATCCGCCTGCGCTGACGTTCCAGCCGCTCTGCGTCATAGAGCAGCCACCGTCCAGAGCTGAGGCCATGCTCGGATTATTTCTCTATGAAATAAGCAGAATTAGGTAACTGAGAAAGTGTGACCCACGGAGCTCATTACGTCAGAAATTAAAACCAAGTTTTGACTAAAATGCAAATAAAACACATTTACCTCAGTTGGTGTGGTCTGTCACTGCGTTTCCAAACAGAATCCCTGGACCCCCCGCTGCAGCTTCTCCAATAAGTCCATTTTCCAGTCCGGAGCTACGGGTCCGAACTTAAGTACCAATATTTTTCACCCCACTTTGTAGAGCCGCTTTCTCCCCATTAAAAATACAAACAAAATAAGATGGTGCCGATTTAAGCGCGGCGGCTCAGCCCTTGGAGTTATAAAAAGAGTAAAAAAATAAATGAAACGCTTCCTCTGCCTCAGATACGTGGGTTAAGCGTGACACTTTAATTTAAACCCGTCTGATTGGTGTAGAAACCAGCTTAAACGTAACAGACTGGATCAGGGGAAATTGGCGACTCGCGCAGTCCGTGCGTCCTCGTTTGGGGACGCGCGTTCATCGCATAATTTATTCATTCACAACAAAAATAAAAATAAACAGAAATATCTACATTGATTCAGCTAAAAAATAAACTTTTTTAAACTTATAAATGAGGTTGCTTCGATATGTTTTCAGTCAATGGAAGAAAAAATGAGTTCTAAGCTCTCCAGCCCTGCGCACTGAGCCAGATGTGTTACCAAAACGATTTCTTTCCTATTAAATCATCCCCGCTGAGCAGCGTAGCCCCGATCGTCTCAGTGGTGTGTTGGTTTTGGTCCTTGGTGCTGCACAAGTTCACTGGGATGGCTCGATCCAGCTGCTCCGATGGCGCACATCCTCGCGTTTCTTATCAGAGGCGTAGCAGCATCTTCTTCTGCGAACAGGACCTTCCGATGAAATCTAATAAGTGGGGTGCCTCCCATCTCCCTCATGCGCTTCTTTCAGAGCTGGTGATGTCACTGAGGAGCGTCATGGGATCCTTGCTCTCTTCATCTCTGTAAACCCCCTCCACTCGTGCAGCTTTGGATCGAAATCCAAACGCACAGCTCCATCAGAAAAGTCTAGCTGAGAGGACGGTGCTTCAGTCAATCACCTCTCAGCAGGACGCTGAGGCGTCCTGCTGAGAGGTGATGCTATCCGCTCTTACAAGAAAAAAAAACTTTGATTTGACTCTCGTGGCTTTGAAACCCTTTGATTCATATAGTTTGATTGCCTTCATAGTTTTAAAACTTTTTGTAATTTTTGCACAACAACTTGAGGCGCAACTAGATGAGTTTCATCCTCCAGCCTGCAGAGAAAACGTTTAAACTCGGACCTTCGATTATAAAGAAATGCAAATAAAGCAGTGTTATGTCTTTACAGATAGTTGTTTCAATAAAAAGTTGATACATGCGTCTTAATGATGTAGAAGATCTATTTAAACAAACGCATTCAGTTTGAGCCTTAATGCATTGTGCTGCTGTTTTCCCTTGATTACACATTAGAGGATTGCCATTTTCTGCTATAAAACATTATTTTCAGGAATATCAGCATTATAAGAGACATATTATGACTTTTTTCTTAAGCTGTAATAGTTCTGTGGTCGATGCGAAACAAGTTTACTATGTTCGTTGCACAAAGTTATTAAGTTGCAACTTTTCGAGCCAAGTTTTGTTCTTGACATATTCAGAAGGAGCCGTTTCTGGGCTCTGTCGCCTTAACGGTGTAGATTACTTGGTTTAATAAATACATTTGCAGTGGTCCCTGAATGCCTTGCAGGCAGAACTCAGGGCACCAATCAGCCCACAACCCCCTGGCCCAGCAGGAAGAAGAATAGCGCCTCTCAAGATAAAAATCAGGAGGCGCTTCACAAAAACAAAAAATGTAAAAATATAAAAAAAAGATTTTAGAAAATGGTTAAAATATATTTAAAATGAGCAAAAAATAGACAATTGTGATTAAAAACTGTAAAGAGAGAGAGAGTGACAGAGGACCAGTCTGTGACATCAGAGCTTCAATCTGGAGGATTATTTCCTGATTTCAATCAATCAATCAGTCAATCAATCAATCAATCAATCAATCAATACTTTATTAATCCCAGAGGGAAATTAGAGTTTCAGTACACACAATTCAGAGGTCAGACATACATGGGCAAGACACATGACAAGAATTGGTGACTGTGGTCATTCGCAACCCTGAGTCGCGCTACCTTAATAGAGATAAGAGGGTTACATGAGGATTGGTTCAGGTGGAGGGAAAAAAGGCACTTCAGAGTTACCCTCCACCGGGAGGGCAGCTTTGCTCTGCAAATAAACACCTCAGACAGATATGCAACAGACTTCAGACAACACAACATAACATGAGACTCCAATAGGAAGGTGGTGGTGGGTGGGGGGGGGGGGGGGGGGACTGGGATCCTGTATCCCCCAGCGAGAGCAGCCATGTGCGGCGCTCATCTACTGTACAGTCACAGGTGGGAGGGAGATCTTGGGAGAAGCAAAAAGCACATTGACTCCCCCAGTTGATGACCTCGCCAGGCTGAAGTCCACCAATCCGAGGCGGGGGGGGGGGGGGGGTCGGGTTTTCACAGCATCTGTCTGCATTCCTTCGTGGGGGTTTTAGTTACTTGCCGCTCAAGGCTACCAGGGCGTCAGATTCAGATAACAAGACTTTGTTTGGGTCAGGCTGAGATCATTTTCCTCTCTGCCTTCAGTCTTTAAACTGATCATTTCCGGTCCTTCAGTGAAGCCAATTTTGGGTTTTTAAACCTGTCCACACCGTCCGGTGACTCTCTCCGAGATGACATCCATTTTGCGCACTAATACCGGTATCACAGCTAGAACATTGTCCAGCTTACGATTCACCTCGAGTAACGTCCCAGTCTGAGAAGTCTCCACACGGACGGTGCTTTCCGTGGGTGCGGGTCGCCCTCCAATCGTTCCCATCTTCCCAAATTTCCAGAAAACCAGATATCCTCCCACTCCAATCAGGAGAAATCCAGATATTTGGACATCTTGCCTTGGACTGGACAAAAGAAACGCAACTCTACCTCTAAGTCTGTTGCTCGGGGACATTGATGTTTGATCTCCACGAATAACAAGCCTGGAGGAGCTTCAGCCATGTCAGTGAGTTCCTCATAGTGGTTAGCTTCAGTTGAATGAGACATTCTCTGCTGATTCTGGATGCTAAAACAACATCGGGAGTCAAAATGGGCAAGTCTAATGAGCGGTCAGGCTTTTCAAATCCTAGATTTTCAACATCTGTTTTCTATCTGAAAAAAATGGAGCTAGGTGTAAGAGACTATTATGTTCAGCCTGCATGAAAAACTCAGAGTAACCTATTATAATGAGAAATACTCATTAAAAAATGTTTGAGAAAACAAGCTGGAGATGGCCACCTCAACCCACCTCCCACTCTGGCTGCTATAAGCTGAGAAGCTCTGATATGTGGGAGGGGCATGGAACAGAGCTGCTGCTCCTCCTGCAGCAGGTTTCTCTCGGATGTGAGAGAAGGCTCTGTGGTAATTTTCCAGACTGTGACATCAAAAAGAAGGACTTTTTGAAACAACTTGTTTAAGGCACGTAACTACTAAAACCAAACCCTGACAGAAAAAGCAGAAACCCACATGACAGCACAGGGTGCAAAAGGCCAGTTTTGCATAACGCGTCTCTTTTAACGTGAACATCACCACCACGAAATCTAAAAATCTCTTCTCTCGGACAGCTCCCCCCTCTTTCTGTAAATGCACCACATTGCCTTCCACCTCTGCTGATGTTGAGAGGTGCAGGGCACGAGGCATCAGGCGCGCTGCCTGCTAATGCATCTGCATCATCACTTGACTTCTGTTTAAATCCATCTGCACCGATGGTCTTGCTGCGCTTTCTCCCTGGACAGAAACATCCATGACATCCCTTGTGATTGGCTGCCCACTTAGGATCAAGTGTCTGATTGTTCAATTATCAAGAGAAACCTACGTCACGCTGGCCATTTGAAACCAAACGGAAGCAGGGGCAGGTAGGCGGCCCCTGTTACCAAACACAAGAGAAGCACAACACTCCGACATACATTAACCTGTCGTGCACATGCAGTCTTATGAATGGTGTGTGAGTAGGAGGTTGTGTTTACTTGTTTTTGTTGTGCATCCCCCCCATCCCCCCACACATGCTGCTTTAATGAAGGAGAAGCTCAGCCAGCCGCCCGTGGAATTACAATTGGGAGGTCTGCTCTCTGATTGCGTGACCTGAAGCAGTAGCCAATAATTGGTTGTACTTTTTTCTCTCTCTCTCACTGTTCTAAATATAAAAGCACAGAGAATAAAGCTTTTAGCAGCAGAGAGCTCTCCAATCAAGTGTGTCTGTTTTTCGTGGATCAGCGACACACAGAAAATGCATTTTGGGGTTGAGGGGTGTGTCACTGATTCCAAGGTTACAGAGGCTGAGCAGCACATAGCGCTCAGCGAACGGTATACACGCCGCCTCTCAAGTGCTTGTTGTGTAAGAGTATGTACACACACACACACACACACACACACACACACACACACACACACACACACACACACACACACACACACACACACACACACACACACACACAAACTCTCACGTATGGCACACAATCCTGGAGGTAATTCTGCTGTCATGGATCACCCACAGCGGATCAACAATCCCTGCTCGGCATCCGGACTGGGAACGATTGTGCTTAGTCTGGAAAAGAAGCTCTCTCTTTGAAGAAAACTTTCTGTACTTTTTCCATTTCTTCATTCTGGCCAAAATAACTGAGAAGGCAAAATGTCCACAACAGCTCCAGCTTTATTTGATCACTGAGCTGTTCGACCTATTGCCTGGCACCGCCCGGGAGCTTATGTACATTATGCGTCCGGTCAAGATCAGTGAGAGGACACTTCCCGTCCTTTTGATCTTTTTAGACCCCGTTGACTTTTTAAGTCCGGCGGGCGGTTCTCTGTTTGCTTTTTGCTTCTATTTTTAGAACCTTATTAATTTCTGGAACTTGAAGGAGCACAGATGTCTTGGAGTTTCACTTTATATTAGGGTCAGTTCAGAAAGGACTGAAGAAATTATGCTGCAAGTGAATCCCACAAAGAATTAGTTTCCCTTCTCGGATTGAGAAGCACCGCAATTAATTGTTTCATTTTTAATTTTTTGTATAAAAGTAAAAGCTCATGAATTTGTGTGTTCAGTTTTACCCTTCTACGGGAATATGTGGTGTTTTTGCCTCCTGTGTGCGTTTCAGTGTGTGTGACCTGCTAGGATTTAAAGGGAATGCTGTCAAATGGTCGCATGGTAATTTTACTAAATGCATTTGCAACAAGAAGCCTCTCTGCTTGTGTGTGTGTGTGTGTGTGTGTGTGTGTGTGTGTGTGTGTGTACATGGTGCAAATGAGTGCACATTGTAATCCCCCTACTCCCATTATCACACACATATTTTCCTCACCTGGGATTTCTCACTCCAGTGACAGAGTCCTCAGCAAACCCTGCAAAACTCCACGTCCAGAGGAAGCGGGATCTCAGTGGTAATCCCTAATCTGACACACTCTTGCTTTTGTAACTAAGATGCAGAGACATGAGCGTGCAAACACGCACACATGTACGCCATCAGTGGGTATTGCCACAGCTTAATATAATATGATTAAGCCTGACAGTAGTTTAATCCGGACTCAGAGTGTGACTAATAGTTTGAGTCTGTTTTCATTAAGGAGGCTGATTGATAAAAGGATGAAATGAAAACGACAAACCTAATGAGAGACTGAAACGGAAGGAAAGGTGGAACAGTTCTGCTTCCGAGGATGAGGAAACGACAACATATGAGGTCAGTAAGAGAGGATGTGAGACAGATGACAACACACGTGTTGTCCTGATCAATATAAACAAGGCTGGGTGGATAAACAGCATGCTGGCGTCATCTACTGGATACTGACAAATCTCCTGGTTGATGTGAAAGCTGCCACTAGAGGGCGCTGCTGCATAAATCAATTTCAATCTGGGATTAATAAAGTATTTCTGAATTGAATTTCTTGAATTGGTTGTTTTTTTTAGAAAACTCCACAGGAGTTGAAGAATTATGGAGTGTATATTTACACCTTCTGCTGTATATTTCACTCTCTGATCAAATGATTATTGATCTTTTAGCCAAGCATGACACAGCTTGCTGCTTACGGAAATGCCCCTGCCAAAGTGTGGCAAAGTTGTTCCTCTTGTGCTCATGTTGAGGAGGCTCGTGCAGCTGAGGGGGAAGTGTGTTTAAGTTATGGATGACACAAGAGGTGTGGGTGGCAGAATGTGTGTGAAGGAGTTGGTGTCATCTAATCACTTTTACAACGAGAGCTCAATCTTCACCAACTTCCTGTATTTTCTCATTAATAGGAGAAAGAAAAAAAATCAAGGGATGTGGCCTTTCCAAACTTCCTGATTCCAAATGTGCACGTCCCTACCAAACACTCCGTCAAATTTCCAAACCTGTATTTGCAAAAAGAGTGGGTGGAAATGAGTTTTATGTTAGTGTTTGAGGTCAGAGGGACTTCAGACTGTGAAATCTGTTCCCAGCAGGATAATCCTCAGAAGCACTCTGCAACGAGCGGCTTTAATATCTCCTGATTCAGCAGGAACGAGTGAAAGTGCTGCAGGGTCAGTGTGTGAAATTGTGCATTTGCATTGAGCTCTGCAGCACAGCGAGGATGCATGCAGCGCTCTGAGGGGACTGTGACTGGAGAGTCTGCGTTAAACGCCCAATGATCCACTTTTCTAGAACAGAGGAGTTGAAAGGTGCTGAAATATATAAAAAGAAGAAAATTGGTTTTCTCCAGCAAGTTTTTATTTCAGAGGGAAAAAGTAGGAATAGATCAAAAACTTGCAGCTATAAAGTGTGCAGGTTAATAATAGTAACACTGCTATAAATCATAAATAAATTAAAACTATTTACATGATTAAAACTTCAAATTGAGAAGAACGGCGTCTCATACAGACAGTGTTTAGTGCATTCAAATATAATTTATCTAAAACTCGACGAGTTCACCATCGCTTCAGTGGTTAACGGTGTCGTCACAGTGGCTCCAGCTCTGAAGGAATGCTTCAGTTTGAAAATAAACAGCTCTTGTAAAAAAAAGAAGACATGAGGCACATTCATGATATAAAACAAAACAAAACAAAAAAAAAAAAACAGAACAAAAAAGTATTTTCCTTCCAAGGGGAAATGACCTCGCTGCAGCTGGCTTTTACACCAACAACCACTTTTTGTTAAATCAGAAACTTCCGTCATGTGACGCCGGCAGCACGAGCAGCTTTCCTGTGAATTCACAGTTCATCCTTCTAAAAGGCCAGTTTTCACAGAACAAACTCAACCATTGTTTGGGTCCTGATAGTCATCTGACTTCGGTACAACGCCGCAAGGTTGGAGAGTTATTCAAGTCAAAGTCCTCAGTATTTTTTTTTTCTACCCCTGACAAAGAATGTCCGTCTCAAACTGCAGCAGCTGTCCCATAAAAGCCAGGTTGGGGGAGATGACGTGGCGCCGCTGCTTCACAAAGTCGAAGGCCTCGTCCAGCCGGACACGCTGCGTGTGCATCAGGTAGGCTAGGCAGATGGTGGCAGAGCGGGAGATGCCTGCCTGACAATGCACCAGCACCCGACCGCCACTCTGCTTTACCGAGTCTGTGGGCAGAACCAGGAGAAACAAACGGCAAGAAGAAATCAGTACGTTGCAGCATTTTGGAACAACATCCCAGCAAATAGTTTCCCACTTATAGCACCTTTAAAAAGCACCTCAAACTACATCTTAAAGGTTCCCCGACATGTTTGCATCTTTAGTTATTCTTATTTTTTTGTTTGTCTATTTGTTTCTATCTGACCGTTTTTAAACTGTACAGTGTTACTTGTTTTACTTCGTTATCTTGTTGACGGACTACAGACGCAAATTAGCAACTATGCTATAATCTGGCCCATTTACAATCAATACAATGTAATTTGATTGTTTACTTATGTGCATTGTCCTGAATAAAGAATTAAAATTAAAATTTACAAGTTTGGTTGACAACACAAATAACCTGAAACAAAAGCCAGACAGAAATTCTCCAAATCTCATTTTTTTTGCAAAGCAAAAGGGTCAAAATAACCAAAAAGACTAAACTTTTAGTGTTCTGTAGCTTGTGCAGCATAATCCAGTTTTGTAACCAGATTAACAATGTTCATAAATCTCAGATACAAAACAGATCCTAAGCTGCTTATTAATGTTCGGCTGCATTTCCTACTGAATGGGGCCAACCATGGATGTAATTTTCACTTTAGAAGTGGGGGGGGGGGGCATGGAGGGGGGTGGGGGGGGGGGATATCTTTACAGTATGTTCTAATGGGAAACAGGCTTATGCACAAACGGTTGTTTTCCGCTTGGTCCCAGAGCTCAACCAGTGTCAATTTAATATAAAGTAATATTGTTTTTGGATGGTAAAAAGTGCAGGGGTCAAAACTTGACTTTGGAAAAAGTGTGTGTGTGTGTGGGGGGGGGGGGGGGGCGTGTCCCCCCCATCCCCCCCAAAAATTACGTCCATGGGGCCAACTTGAGCTCTTTGAACATGCCTGACATTTCAGAGAACACACACAAGACTGGGCTTTCAGGGTCACTCTGGGTTGCAGGTGAACGGGGCTCACCGATGAACGCGATGGCCGTTTGAAAACAGGCCCTAATGTCGGCCACCAGCGTGTCCTCCACAGTGAGCCGAAGGTACTGAAGCTCCCCCTCATAGAAGTTGGGACAAGTGGAGGACACGTTGAGGACAGCGGTGATTCCTGCTGCTGCCAGCGCCTCTCTGCGAGATGAGTGGACGGCACTGCCCAGGAACAGGAAGGGAAGCAGCTCCACTGGGCCATCCTGAAATCAGCAACCAAACATTGACCTTTAGGCACACCGGGAGCCTTTTAAAGCACAGTCGGATGTTCAGAATGAATCAGATTGTACCTGATCATGTGATGGAGTCCTCCTGCCAGTAGTAATGGGTTCTGGTTCCACTGTGGAGAACTGATTTCTGGGGGAGTTATAACAAAGCTCTGAAAAGGCCTCAGAAAATCCCTCAAATCCACCTGAAAGGAGTTCAGAAAATTAACTCAAAACAGCCTGAGAGGGAATGAGGAAACTGTTTACATCACAGCCCAAATGATCCATGTATTTAGTTAGAAATACAGTTTTAAAAATCTGACTGAATAAACGTTAAAAGCCAAGTCAGATCTCACCTTGCAAAAAGCAGATCTGCGTGTGGACCTCGTTCTGCAGGGCGGTGAGCAACATCTGGGCCACACTCTCCGACTTCAGCTCGGCCACGGAGCGGCTCCTCTCGTCCGCCACCACCACCGGGCAGTAGCCCCCGCTCCGGAGCCGGCTCAGCAGCGTCTTGTCCGGGATGAGCCACTCCAGGGCCACCACCGAGCTCTTGGACCTCCGGCGCAGCATCGAGTTCCAGTTGACGTTTCGGGATTCGCAAATGTGCGCCAAAGAGAAGTCGAGGAAGGGTCTGCAGTCCAGCACCACGCACCCGTCAGAGGTGTACTGATGCCGGGGGGTCCTGAGGATGTGGACCAGCTCATTGCCACTTATTTCCAACGTTTCACTGCTAGAAGTCATGACTTAAAAATTGCAGGAAAATTTTAAAATAAAATTTAGTTTGAAAGTTAAACAAAAGGAGTTTGTGAGGAGGGCTTGAACTGTCCCTGAGGTCGGCTACACTCGGCTTAACTTTCATAGTTTCAGTTATTCATTGATAACAGCTGCGGGAGGGGCGGGGCCGCACTGGCCCCTCCTTGTTTTCCAGCGGGGCGAACGCTCACTGGCGGAAAGCCCATATTTGGTCTTCCCAACACTCCTCATATGGGCGCCGACGTCAAATCTAATTTTCCTACTACGCACGTGGTCTACTGGGTTCAGCCGGCGTCTCACTGAGCTGATCCAGTTGTCTTTGGAGGAAAAATCGAAGGCAGAGTTTTGTCATTTGGGATTATTTAATCCTGCGCTGCTCTCTGCCGCTGCAAAGGTGTGTGTTTGTTCCATCAGTGTAACAAGCACACGTCATACTTTCCTCCATCCCCTCAGGTAAAGATGCAGCAGCCTGGGACCAAAAGCGGAACCCTGTTCATTCAGGACCGGATCTGTGTTGTTAACATCATGAAAGCCTACAGGTAAAGAAAGTTAATCTGACAGCTATTGAGTTGTAAACCAAGCAAGACATAAAATACACAAAACAATAATACGTTTACTAAACAAACAAAGGCAGATGTCAGCAGGATAACAAATAATGTCCTGGACATTTTCTGTTTAACTTTACACAGACTCAAATACAAAAATAATACATGCTTTTAGATTTTTACAACACAGCTCTATTTTTACACGTTCTTTAGTGTGTTGCTGTTTTTAACCACCAGTAAAACGTTATTTAGGCTTAAACTGTGTTCACTGAAGGGCAAAAAAGGTTTTTGAAGCATGAACTTCTTTAAAGTTTTGGTACTTTCCCAAAGTTTTACAGTTGTTGAAGAGGAAATGTAGCCTGGCAAGCCAGACTAAATAAATGCATCGTTTAATTTATTATTCAAACTTTGCAAAGCAAGACTTTGGTCTAGTTAAAGCAGATTATAATGAAGGACTCGCTGAACTAAAACCATCATTGGTCAGTGCAATGCTTTATTTGAATCGTTTGTCATGATGAGACGATTAAAGTGATGTCACAACTATAAACACATACGAGTGGTGATGTTCCGTCACACATTTGATGATTATTATTATTTTACCAGAAATTTTAAAGAACGACTGTGTTCTAGCAGTTTTGGTCTACTGGAAACATTTACAGTAAAATGTAAATAAAGTTAAAATGTGATGGGAGTCATCTGGTAATATCCAGACAAAAGGGACAAATTACAGAAAAGTATTCTGTTTTAATGTTCTACGGGTGAAAAAAAAAACTTTCAGCACCTTTTCAGTATATCTTTCCATCCTGAAATACAAATAAATGTCTAAAGTTTCTATGATGGTGTGTCTGAGCCTATGCTGTCTTGAACCTGTCTAAGAAACTCAGAGAAAAACAACCGTGATGATTTAACTTGAGTAGTCCTCAAAGATGAACAAGAACTAATTAGAAACGAGAGCAGTGAGGTTTCGGGTTTGGCCGAGGAGTCAGCCTAGATTCATTTCCGCCCGGGTGATACAGTAGCTTCATGTGCAGCGTGGGCTAGCTCTTATCACAGGGTGTCATCTGACGTCTTTGTTTTCATTTCCTCAAAGCCCACTCTAAAGATCTCCCACTCACAACTCCCAGAATTCCACTTCCTTTCCCTCACCGCTGCCTGCAGCTCCTTCAGAAGCACGGCCGCTTTGTCATCCCCTCTCTCTGCTGAGGCTGCAGTTTCACACACAACCTCACACACTTCATCGTGGCTGTCGGTGCAGCCGCTGAGCGAGCATTTACCGTGGCCCCGGCCTGCTCTTTGGGTTTAAACGCGTTGGTGTTGGCCCGGCGAAACGCTCAGACCTGCTCGGCTGGAGAATTGTGACGTGAGCATGTTTATTTTTTTTTTGTCTTCCTAATGTTCACCCGCATGACAGCAAGCCCCACAGGAAACAACACAAACATCCTGTCATCATCCATGCAGACCTCATCCTGCACACACACGCACGCACACACACAGTCACTGTTTTCATCACAACTTCTTTTACGGCTACCTGCACTCAGGGCTGCATCAGACGTTTCTCAGAAAACGTAATCTGTGGTCTAATGAATTATTTCCTGGCTGTGATGATTAATTTCAGCATAAACTTGTTTCATTTTCACTTCTGTAAACCTTTTCTTACGTTTGCTGTTGATAATGATCATTTTGCTGTCATCTAACAGGAGATATGACTCAGACGAGACATCGAGCAGCACGGAGAGCGTAAATAAAAGGCAATCCCAAACAAAAACGCTGACTCGTGGTGATTTATAGTCCGTTTCTGAATCAGTTTTTGTCATCAGAAGGTATTTTAATCACGTGAAACTTCACAGAAAGAGGAACGTTACAAACACATTAAAAACCTCTGATCGGAGTAACTAAACATCAGTAGAACCTCTGATGAAAACATCTGCTGCTTGCTTTTACTCTCTTTTCCCAGTGAGGGGATTATCTGGGATAAATTGGATGGCCTGGGCTATTAATCTAAAAAAAACCACTATAATCCAGGAGATTTCCCTCATCCCTGATTCTTTTCTTAAACACCCACGTGACTGAAGCGTCTCTTCATTCAGAGGGAACACGTCCTTGCCGGGTTCTGATGGGTTTTGACAGGGTTTACTGCTTTTGATACGTGTGTCCAATGAAAACCCCCGGTGTGTTTAAAATGTCCCTCATCTACAACTCACCATTGTTGTATTTGTGAGAGAGTTATTTACATGTGACTTACTCGCACTTCTGTGGCGTGACTCGGTCGCTCGAACTGGGAAACGGTTTTGACCACAGACCAAAACGTGTGAAATGAAGCGAGAAAACATTCGCTGACATTTAAGGATGGAAGTATACTCTATGAGGCGTTTATCACACTGTATTCTGTGCGTTTTTCCTCCGTCCTGCTTTACTTGCTGCTTGCTGCCGATTCTTCATCATTCTACAAAAGAGAAGGCAGAAGGAAACTCTTAAGTCAAAATATTTAAACTTGAACAAATTTTAAGTGAACACCTGCTTTTTATGCTGAATAAATTGATGTCACTTCCTGGAAAATCTGACATGTTCAGAGCAGCTTGTGTTCTTGGTGTTTTAAACTAAACAGTGTTCACTCAGCCCAACTAATCAATAACCAAACCACTGAACAACTTAGGGTTTGTCATTCATTATCTGTGCTCCATTTAACTTCACCACATCTCCTTTTCTCCCCCCTCCACCCACTTGCTGCCTCTTACCCCAGGGCGACTGTGAGGCCCACGCTGGCTGTCAGAGTCAGCGCTGTCACCATGGCGATGAGTGCCACCAGCAGTTCCTCTGTAGGCTGTAAAGGTGGGTCGTCATCACCAGGAGGCAGCAACGGAAGAGTGACGGGGGTTTGGTGGGTCTGATGAGGCAAGGGGGCAACTGTGGAGGAGGAGGAAGTACAAGGAGGTTATTAATCAGGTGCACTGGGGGAGTAACTCTGAAGAGGCGTTACAGCTTTCATCAAACTAAAGTTAGGGGAACTTTCTCGAAAAGGTTTATGTTTGCTGGAAAAGAAGTTTTATAAAAAAATCAAATTTTAAAGGGACATTATGGAAGTGTGACAGCCAAAACATGTATAGAAATAATAAATGTCTTCTTCATACATTCTCCTGCAATGCCCTGGTCCTGTAGAATGAGCCCTGGCATTTTTACTGTGATTGCCTGTTTTTCTGTAAAATCACAGAAAAAGAGAGATGCTCGGGTCGAGCAGGCTGCTTCATGCGCGTTCACGCTCAGGCATCGCCCGTAGCATTTGCTATCCGTAGCTTTAGCAGCAGAGAGAGAGGCAGTGCCACTTTGTCGCTGTTCCTAACGCCTAGTGACAAAGCTAGCTACATTTCTGAGGACCCTTAGCTACTTTCTGTAGAACTTTCTTCTAGATATTTCCTGCAAATTAGCAACAAAATAGCTATTTTCACTCCGAACCGTTCTTTGGTTTGACGTTGTTTCAGCTGTCATCAAGGATATAAATGTTACAGATACAAAGGACGTCACTGGTGCTTTAGCTCACCTAGTAAGATGTCTGACTCTCATGCAGAAGACCTGGGTTTGATTCTGGATGTGAACATAGTTTATTTAGTGTTTCTTTTTTTACATTAATGGTATATTTTTTACAGTAAGACGCCCAAATTTTTATTTGAGACTCGCCGAACGACATTGAATTCACAGATAAAAAAGATGTGGGTTCAACTTTCATTTTGGAACAATTTTTCAAGCAAGGGAAGGGAATGATCTGAGCATGCAGGACTGACCCATCATAAACCTTTGTCGGCTGTGCTGAAGAGAAAGGTACAGAACCAAATTATTTAATTAATTAGCTGCATGTTCTCCTGTCCTCCGGGCCACACACGCACACACACACACACACACACACACACACACACACACACACACACACACACACACACACAGGACCGTCTCAGCTGTTATTTTCATTAAGGAGTGTGCACGTACAGCATGCGTGCCTCGTGCACGAGCCTACTATTGAAGCTGCCGTTATGCTTTTGGCCTGAGGGGGCGATCACGAGCATAAAAATTCATAACCCTGTAAAGTCCCTTTAAATGTAAGTCAGTCAATCAGATATTATTCATGAAGCGTTTTTCAAGCAAAAGTGTGACTCAGAGTGCTTTACAGAATTAAAATGACCCAAATTCCCGGAGTCTGGATGTCGTTTTTAGGCAAAATGAAGGTCACCCCTGATGATTCTGTGTTAGAATTACGCCTGCTTGATTTCTTTTTTAACTTTCTCACTGAAGTGAATCTTTTAAATTTTATAATTATTTATTACATCTGGATGTGTTTTGTGTGTGCGTGTATGTTCATCAGTGACCATGTGACAACAAAATGATAGAAAAGCAAAACAAATTCGATTGGCTGACTAACTAAAATATTTCTATAAAATAAAAGTCTTCAGCAGCTTTAGGAAATTATCTAAAAAATAAGTTGCCTGAAACATTTAGATTAGAGCTCAGATGATTTTGGGTTTTCTGTTGCAGATACCAGTGTACCGATGTGCAGGAGCCACGGTCAGCCGATGCAGAATTGCATGACCTCTATCCAGCCGTTGTCTACAGCACGATCAGACACTCATTCATATAGTTTATCAGCAAAAAAATGTTGATTTGGAGTGACTTGCTCTTTAAATCGGCTTTACTAAGAACAGATATCGGCCGATACCAATATATATACAAAAAGGTTATTATCGGCGCGCTGGCTGACCGGTAGCGGTCTGCCTCTAGCTTAGCTAATGCATCAAAAGAAGAATCCTTCCAATTAAAAACCATAAAAAATATAATAAAATATGAGAAATACATTGAACAAAATGAATGTCGAAGCACCGACTTCAGCTCACGTACACAGCACAGACTGTCCATGCATTTAACTCGTTTCAGTTTCATTTCCAAAATAAATCTAATTTTTTGTTAATAAATACATCCAATTTAGTACTTCTGCCTCAAATGAACAGAAAAGCAGGACATCCGTACACCTAAAAGCTTTCTATGATCGTCACTGGGAGTGGGCAAACATAATTTCTAATGTGAGTGGATTCTACTAACTGTATGTCTGAGCTGTGACCATGCACGAGTCTACCTGTGAGCAGGAAAGTGACTCGATAGAAGAGGGTTCCATTTTGGTCCTGCAACGAGCAGCGATATGTTCCTTGTTCATCCAAATGGAGCTGATTCAACACCGCAAACGAGTCATACGTCACCACCAAGGCTGCGAAGTCGCTTTCATCCAGCTGTGTGCAAACATTTAGTTGAGATGAATACATGCTAGTGGGTGTAAAAGCTGGCAGATCATACACATGCTTGTTTGCACTGGTCCTAGACAGCTAACTGTGGGAGATAAAATGAGATAAGGTAGGTGGGGTCAGCCATTGTGGTTGAAAACGGCTATTTTAAATGCTGCTACTCATGCTTCTTTTCTTGTCTCAGTGTGTCGGCTGTGAGAAACCTCTCTGGCTCCTGGCTTTCCTGGTGCCCAGGAGTAGTAGTACTCCGGATTTTCTAACACAAGCCGATGCCACGGATGAAAACAGTTCAGCACTGCTTGTCCACCCTCCTCTGCTTCCACTGGGAACACTGGGAAAAGGGTGAGATGAGGTGAAACCAGACCATTTGTTCTTATGCATCCGGATTACTTTTGTAATCTTTTTCATTAGCCCTGCACATGGACAGGCAGCAGCACTTAGCTCAAGAACACATTTCCGCACTCGTGACAGGGCGTTTTGAAATATTCTGAAGAACGATGCACAAACACACAGATGCAACACACCACCGCAGTCCTGCTGGCCCGTTGGAGAAGGACAGGTGTACATCTCATACTGGCAAGAGATGCAGTTCATTACTCTTCTATGCAGAAGCCCTGAAAACCACACCGACACACACACCAACACACACGTGTTCTGTAAACGCTGACTCGACATGGTCAACAAGAATCAGTACAGATGAAGGGATCCAACAGGACCAACTCACCACACATGTTGGGGCACAGTCCTGAGGGGGAAACAGATAAATCTGAAACTAATTTACATTGCTGGACAGCTTTAAGCTGATTCAGACTGTCTTTCAATGGGATTACCGTTGGGGATGAAAGTGTCCAAGTGTTTCTCTAAAATCTTCCTGCCTTTCTCCATGATCTGAATGGTATCAAACGCTAGAGAGCCTTTAAAAGAGCAGAATTTGTTCATTTGAGGCAACGAGAAATGCAGTTCTAGTGTACAACTACAACCTTTTAGAGCCATGTTAGTTTTGGATGTAACGGTTCTGAGTTTTCTGTCTCTCACCAGTGTGGTCTGCGGTCAAGAAGCGGTTAAATTCACTCTGATACTCAGTTCTGGCTCTGTAGAGGGTGGTCGAATCTAAGAACAGAACAGATTACTGACCATATTCTTGAAATATCCTTGAAATGTTCAAACCAAATGCAAGCTATGAGATCCGCACAGCACGATCTCACCGATGACCCCCTTTTGTGCTTGGCTGGTCTCTTTGTAGGTCACGTAGGCATAGTCACAAATCGTTTGCAGTTCGATTTGGTCGTTCACAGAGGGAGCTGACAAGATAAAGTCCTCATGCATGCGCGTGATGGTGCTGTCACATTGGAGGCAGGCCTTAGTGACAGGGGCACAGAACAGGGTCACCAGCATCAGCAGCATCTTTTCTCTGATGTCGGCAAGTAAAATTCCTGTCACAGACCAAAATTCTCCATTATAACTGCTGCAGAACTCCTCGAATTCTACAAAGAAGCATTTATTATTAACAACACGTGTGATTACACTTTATGATTCAACATATTTAACACTGTCATTAAAGCTTTAATCTGCACATCAAATGCTTGGCATAGCACATTTAAATCCCTATAGCAGGCATGTCAAAGTGATAAATGATTAAAGACCTGCACTTTTATAGCGCCTTGCAGTCAGAGAACTCCAAAGTACTATACATTACAGAGTATCATTCATCCGTTCACACCCACATTTACATGCTAATGGTGATGAGCTACATTGTAGCCACTGGTTAGATGACTGAGTGTGTTGTGAAGCACCTTGGGGGGTTGTAGAACCTTGAGAAGGCGCAATAAAAATACAGATCATTTAAGTTGATCACTCTGGCCATCCCGTTGAAAAGTGGACACCATTGCCCTTTCTTAGATTGAAGCACACATTGAACTTGACTGATAAAAACTATAAAAGGAGAAATAAACAACAAAAAATAAAAATAACAAAGGTAAGTGAATAAAAACGTGTACTAAAAATTATATATATATATATATATATATATATATATATATATATATATATATATATATATATATATATATATATGTGTGTGTGTGTGTGTGTGTATACACACTAATGATAAGTTGTAAATGTAAACTTAATACATACATTTTTACTGCTTTAACTAGACTCTATAAATTATTTCCCTTCTACGTGCGCACACAAAATCTGATCTGAAGTTGCATTATTCATTACTGTAGAGCAACCAACATTATTAAACACTTTAGATTTAAAACATTATTGTAGGTACCAGATAATATGATTGTAATAACTTTTTAAGTCAGAAAGTCATTTTATGAGCCAGAGAAGATAACTTTATTAAAAAGATTTAGCTAAAGTCTTGGTTCTTCAGAGGCATCTTGGTGTCTTGTGATACAGAACAGGATGGTTTTTAAATGCTTTATTCATCATTTCACTGTCCTTTCTCCTATTATTATAGTTAATATATGACTCCGTGTATTTCACCTAATGAGGACAGATTACGTTTCATGACTTGTGTTGGAGCTGCTTTACAACACAAACAACAATACGACCTTTACACACATTATATCTTGAGCTTGTAGCTTGTTGCTGCCACCCAGTGGCGAAACACGTTAAAACATGCTAAATGTGTGAAGAACACTTCCCCCCTCATTTCTTTTCATCTTACCTTGAATTGATTCAGGGACGTTGTGGCTAATGTTAATTTAACGTTAGCTTAACACTCGTCACCAACTGTGTGTTTACAAGTAATTAAACTGTAAACCACTAACTCGTCGTGAGTTACTAATGTCGAAAAAACTTTGTAATAAATGTGTGTACGGTTAATTTGTATTAGCTCGACGGTTTCCGGCGGAAACAGTATGTAAGCTAACGACTTGTCTCTCGTCAGACAAATTCCAAAGTGCGCATGTCCAAAACCTCGTGAGCCCGTTACAGAATGTTGATATGACACAAAAAAATAAGATAAACATAAATTAAATCAAGCGTTTATGAGGAAAGTCATGAATCAATACCAATGATTTACAGATGTTGAACTGAAAGGATTGTTGAAAACTGATTCTAACGGAAAGTTTAGAGATAAGATTGTTTCTGAGCTAAATTTAATCTAAAATACGTATATTTTTGAATTATCTTCATGCAAAAACATAACTCAATGTTAAAAAATGCCTCCAAATTGCATATTTTAAAAATATTTTCTTCAGGCAATGTCAGTCAAAAATAACAAAGCTTAAATCAAAAATGACTTTTTATCTGTTTTCTTAAATTTTCTACTCATTTGAGATTTTCTTTCCTGTGAAACGGCACTCAATAAATAATATTTTAGTAATCAATAGGTATGAATGTGCAACTGATTTGCAGAAACAAAACATGTGGAGAAACAAAGTTTTCTCTTAGCTGTTTTTGGCAAGATGGAGAAATCTTCAGACTTTTAAAATCCAACATACTCGTCGCAAATTCATAAACCAACTATTAAAATAATAAACCAAACAAACTTCGAATTCATTTGCCACAGAAAAGCTTGTAAGGAAAAACAACTTGAATAGGAGAGGAGAGCTGCATGTGATTGATTCTAACTGCAAGAATAAAATAAATTGACCAAACACAAAACAAAACAAAAATATCTAAATAGCCTCTGGTTTCAAATATTATCCATTTTTCCAAGTTTGGAGGATTACACACCTTCTTTGGTGAATTTGACCTGAAAGTTGCTCATTAACTATACCTATCACTTTTATCAGTAAGCTGGTTATTTTTTAATTTAATTTCACACACAGAAATATCCCTAAATCTGTAATTAGAAAGCAACACTTAACTGATACTTCACATTATTTTCAAGTGACTCAAATGTAATGATTTTAAACTCTCCTTCTAATAAGGCAACTCTCTCTGGAATTTCCCTTTGAGTAAGTTTAGGTTCGACTGTAATTGCTGTTTGTTAACTGTATGTGTTTATTTTATTCACAGCTAACGTTTAAAGACAACATACTCTGTGTTTCTTTTTACACTCGTTCCCACTTGATTTGTGTGTTTTGTTATTGCTGTTAATAAAGTTGTGGAAAAGCACTTCCGCAACTGCGCAGTAGGGTCACATCTACCGAGTGTAACCATATTGACCTCAGCAGCGCAGACGCAGAGGTAAGGTAAATATTTGTCCCTAAAACAGTTTTGGGGCAGTTTTAGTTTATTTCCTGTAACTCACAACATTTAACAGCATTATTAACATCATCAACGCGGTAAACACGATTGACCGGACTGATAGCAAAAGGTCTGTTTTATTTTGAAACCAAACACCCAGTTTGCGACAAGTGCTTTTGTTTACATCTTTTCCTGACTCAAAGGAAAGTTGACGATTAAAAATACATGTTTTATTGATAGTATATATATGTTTATGTCAGTTTAACTGTTGTGAAAACGTAAGAAACACACGACTGGAAGGATCAGTTTTCACAACTATCAAAATAAAATCCCATTTAGGATTTAGTTTTGTTTTAATTTTTGCTAATCTTGTTAAACAATTATCACACTCCAAAATAACTGTATGGCAGCATTAAATTGTTAGTGGTTTTTTTAGCAGCATGACTAATAAGTTTTAGTGTTTTAATATTAGCCTAAACGTTTGCTAATCGCTTGTGCACTTTTATCCTCGCTTACAACAGAATAAGCACATTTTAGTTGATGCGTTGATCAGCTGATTTTTGCTGACTAGGCTACATTTGCTAACAGAATAAAATAAGGAGCCTGATGTTAATCATACCTTTTAGAGAGGAGAGGTTCAGTCCACTGAAAGCTACAGGCTTACTGTTATCTAGTTATTAGAGGGCTGCGCCTCCTAAATGGTGTTTACTCTGCTTTAGTGATAACAATGAGTTAGGGTCTGTATTTCTTTTTAATGGTTTCACTGGTTTTATTGCCACTGGTGTTTGTGTGATCCCAGCAACTAAATCATGCCAGATTACATCCCACATACCCACTATCTGTTGGTATAACTAACAAAGTTCAACACGGAGTCTAACATCTGCATTGTTACAAGTGGGTGTACACACACAAAAGCTGCAGAAATGTTTAGTGTTTGTCTCTTTTATAGGTTTGGACAAATCGATCCTCATCCCAATATGAAGACACCGACACACACGTGCAGATAGACGTCAAGCTGCTGCAAATCTGTTCCTCTATAACACACACTGACAGCAAATTACCTTTAGCTGTCACTCCTCCCCCCCAAACTTGCTTCTTTTCAAGTTTTCAGCATGTACCACATTGTTCCAGGAGCTCCTGTGGAGCAGCAGATGGCTAAAGAAGTCCGTGACTCCCCAGTTAGGAAGAAATTAGCCCATGAAGGTCGTCCGCTGGTGCTGGCGGGTCTGCTGGGCTGTGTGTTGGTCCTGGCTGCTGTGATCGCCTGGTGCTACTATTCTGTGTCTTTCCGGAAAGCCCAGCTGTTGAAGGCTGAGCTGCTGGATCTGAATAAAGACGGCTTCCTCATACGCAACCATGCAGGGGCTGTCGTCTTCACCATGACCTTCAGGTGGGTTTACTGTAGGAATGATCTCCATCGTTTACCAAACTACTGCCATGTAGAGATGTTGAAGGTGTCCTCATCATTCTGTCAGTTTTAGTTCTGCTCAAACACGGTAATTCTTAGAGAGATATTCAAAACAGGATGCTCCAGATGTCAGGGGACTTCAATGCTCACGTGGGCAATGACAGCTTGACCTGGAGGGGTGTGATTGGGAGGAACGGCCCACCTAATCTGAACTCGAGCGGTGTTTTGTTATTGGACTTCTGTGCAAGCCGCAGTTTGGCCATAACGAACACCATGTTCGAACATAAGGATGCCCACCGGTACACTTGGTACCAGGGCAGCCTAGGTCACAGGTCGATGATAGATTTTGTAGTCGTATCATCTGACCTGCGGCCGTATGTTTTGGACACCCGAGTGAAGAGAGGGGCGGAGCTGTCAACTGATCACCACCTGGTGGTGAGTTGGATCAGATGGCAGGGGAAGATGCGGCGTAGACCTGGCAGACCCAAACGCATAGTGAGGGTCTGCTGGGAACTTCTGGCAGAAGAACCTGTCAAGACGGTCTTCAACTCCCACCTCCGGCAGAGCTTTGACCACGTCCCGAGAGCAGTGGGGGACATTGAGTCCGAGTGGGCCTTGTTCCACTCTGCGATTGTCGAGGCGGCTGTTGCTAGCTGTGGTCGTAAGGTGGCCGGAGCCAGTCGTGGTGGCAACCCCCGTACCCGCTGGTGGACACCAGAGGTTCGGGGAGCCGTCAGGCTGAAGAAGGAGGCCTACAGGGCGTGGCTGGTCTGTGGGTCTCCGGAGGCAGCAGACAGGTACCGGATAGCCAAGTGGGGTGCAGCAGTGGCAGTTGCCGAGGCAAAATCTCAGGCGTGGGAGGAGTTTGGTGAGGTCATGGAGAAAGACTATCGATCGGCTCCAAAGAGGTTCTGGCAAACTGTCCGGCGCCTCAGGAGAGGAAGGCAGCAACTCGCTCACACTGTTTACAGTGGGGATGGGGAGCTGCTGACGTCAACTGAGGCTATAGTCGGACGGTGGAAGGAATACTTTGAGGAGCTCCTCAATCCCACCAATGCGCATTCCGAGGAGGAACCAGAGCTGGGAGACCTGGGGATGGACTGTCCGATCTCGGGGGCAGAAGTTGCTGAGGTAGTCAAACAACTACACAGCGGCGGAGCCCCGGGGGCGGATGAGGTTCGTCCTGGGTATCTCAAGGCTATGGATGTTGTAGGGCTGTCATGGTTGACACGTCTCTACAACATTGCGTGGTCATCGGGGGCAGTTCCTAGGGAGTGGCAGACCGGGGTGGTGGTCCCAATCTTTAAGAAGGGTGACCTGAGGGTGTGTTCCAACTATAGGGGGATCACACTCCTCAGCCTCCCCGGAAAGGTCTACGCCAAGGTACTGGAGAGGAGGGTCCGATCGATAGTTGAATCTCAGATAGAGGAGGAGCAATGTGGTTTTCGTCCTGGCCGTGGAACTGTGGACCAGCTCTATACCCTTGCAAGGGTGATGGAGGGGGCATGGGAGTTTGCCCAACCAATCCACATGTGCTTTGTGGATTTGGAGAAGGCTTATGACCGTGTCCCCAAGGGCACCCTGTGGGGGACGCTCCAGGTGTATGGGGTGGGTGGCTTTCTGTTAAGGGCCATTCAGTCCCTTTACCAGAGGAGCGTGAGTTTGGTCCGCATAGCCGGTAGTAAGTCGGACCTGTTCCCAGTGAGGGTTGGACTCCGCCAGGGCTGCCCTTTGTCACCGGTTCTGTTCATTACCTTTATGGACAGAATTTCTAGATGCAGCCGTGGTGTGGAGTGTGTCGAGTTTGGTGGCAGGAGAATCTCGTCTCTGCTTTTTGCGGATGATGTGGTCCTCCTAGCTTCATCCAGCTCGGACCTTCAGCTCTTGCTGGGTAGGTTCGCGGCTGAGAGTGAAGCGGCTGGGATGAGGATCAGCACCTCCAAATCTGAGACCATGGTTCTCGACCGGAAAAGGGTGGCTTGCCACCTCCGGGTCGGGGGAGAGGTCCTACCTCAAGTGGAGGAGTTTAAGTATCTCGGGGTCTTGTTCACGAGTGAGGGTAGGAGGGATCGGGAGATCGACAGGCGGATTGGTTCGGCGTCTGCAGTGATGCGGATGCTGAGCCGATCTGTCGTGGGGAAGAGGGAGCTGAGCCAGAAAGCCAGGCTCTCGATTTACCGGTCGATCTACGTCCCAATCCTCACCTATGGTCATGAGCTTTGGGTAATGACCGAAAGAACGAGATCGCGGATACAAGCGGCCGAAATGAGTTTCCTCCGTAGGGTGGCCGGGCTCAGCCTTAGAGATAGGGTGAGGAGCTCGGACATTCGGGAGGGACTCGGAGTAGAACCGCTGCTCCTCCGGATCGAAAGGAGCCAGTTGAGGTGGTTTGGGCATCTGGTCAGGATGCCTCCTGGACGCCTCCCCAGGGAGGTGTTTCGGGCATGTCCTGCTGGCAGAAGGCCCCCGGGTCGACCCAGGACACGTTGGAGAGGTTACATCTCCAATCTGGTCCGGGAACGCCTTGGGGTCCTGCCGGAGGAGCTGGTGGAGGTGGCCGGGGAGAGGACGGCCTGGAGCTCCCTAACTGGGATGCTGCCCCCGCGACCCGGACCCGAATAAGCGGAGGAAGACGAAGACGAAGAAGCTTCGGATCGGTTAAAGGTGTGGTTCACTGAAAATAGATTATTTCTGTGAGTTTCACATCCAAGCTGAACATGAAAATAGTCTTCTACACCTCTCTCCTTCATTAGCTTCTGATAGAAAATAGACAGTGGAAATCTAGAATTTGAAAGTCCTGACAGATCTATGTCACACGGTCACTTAGCATTCGTGGACTCGCCCATCTTGTCTCGCGACGAGGAAGGCTGTTGTTGGTTTAGCGTCCAGGAAGCAGAAGAGAAGGCTAACCGTTAGTATTAGCAACACCACCACACAGAAAAACTCCTCCAGGCTCGTGTTATTCGTGGAGATTAAACATCCATGTTGCAAGTCAGCGGCAGAGTTGCGTTGCTGCTATCCAATCCGAGGCAAGATGTCAGAATATCAGGAAATAAGACTCCAAATCCTGCTGTCTGCTGCCACTCTCTGCAGAAGCAGACTTGTCCGTGCTAATCCAAGCAATTCTGGGCTATTATTGCCATGAGTACGGCTTGCAAGGCATTCGTTCCTATCAGAGACCACTGCAAATGTACCGATTAAACGAGTTTCCCACATCCTTAAACAGAAAAATGAAATGTAACTTTTCTCTTTTGTAATCGCACCATTTGTTTGTTAGTAAGTAGTTGGATTTTCAGCAAAACTAAATTGCATCCCATGGTGTTTGTGCTGTGTGTAATTGACACTTTGTGTTGTGTGTGTCCCGTTCCATACGCGGCCCTAGATCAGACACTCTGGATCTGGACTCCTGCTCAAAGGAGGGAAGCTTTCTGAGCTGTACCAAGTCAAATTCGGGCAAACTGAACTTTTTCATCCAACCCGTTCGACCTAAAGACACTGTTATATGCTACCGCGTTCGTTGGGAGGAGCTGCAGATGAAACGCACAGTAGAGCATGACATGACCTTTAACGGCTCTCACTGGTACGGGGGGGCAGAGATGGCAGCGCAGTACTGGCCTATCAGATTCCAAGGCGAAGAGGAACCCCGGCCTTTCATCACCAGCGACGTCTACGCCAATCGAAATGCGTTCGGGGGAATCCTTGAGCGCTACTGGCTGTCGTCCAATGCGACTGCAATAAAGATCAATGACTCGGTGCCGTTTCACCTGGGCTGGTCGCAGAAGGACAGGACTCTGAGGTTCCAGGCCCGGTACCAGGACTCTCCCTTTAGACCACCAGCTGGGCAGCCGGCATTTCCTGAACTCAGCTACAGAGTGTGTGTGGGGTTGGATGTCACCTCGATCCACAAATATATGGTAAGTGTCACTATGCAGAGTTTCTTAGGAGGGATAAACCTTTTTATTAGGGTATGAAACTATCACTTCCAGATTTTGGTATCTGCAGCCTTTTAGGCCCTGTCCACACGTAGCCGGGGATCTGCCAAAACGTAGATATTTTTCTACGTTTTGGCCTGTCATCCACACTAAAACGGAGTTTTTTCACATTAAAACGGAGTTTTTTAAACACTTCGGCCAAAGTGAAGATCTGTGTTTTCTCCGTTTTGGGTGTCTGCGTGTGGACGGACAAAACCGGAGTTTTAAGGTCCGCCACGTCACTTTCCGGCGTCAAAAAAATGCTGACATCACGTGTGCGACCTGTGTTTACACTAGCCGACAGCATGGATGCCCTCAGAGCTGCGCTCGCTTCATCAATTGTCCAGGCGCTTTCTGCTTGTTTGTTTTTGCAAGCGGAATTACTGCTCCTTGCGGAAGACCACAGACGAAGGACGAGGTTAAGAACGGGGGAAGTACTGCCGCCTACAGGTCTGGCATGTCCTTAACAACGTATTTATCCGGGTACGTGTGGACAGAGTTTGTTTTTTTAAACGAGGTGGTGTGGATGCAAGTTTTTGGAGGGGCGGATATTCGTTTCTTAAAAAACCCGGCTACGTGCGGACTAGGCCTTACAGTTGGATAGGTGATGCAGTTAAATTCTTGACTAAATAAGCTGAAGAAGCTTTATAAGATCTTTTAATCCACTTTATAGTCAGTGTTTTCTTTAGAGTAGACCTGTGTTGGTTCTAACAGCCAAGTGCTGGCATTTGATTTGGTTTGCTAGTAGCTGTAGCGCACACTATTCACAATAGCATCTTTCCCACTGATACAATAATAAGGGACTCCGGCGTGACTGTTTACCCAGAAACTAAAAGGGCGGTCACATTTCACAGCTCTTCCAGAAGTCTTATCTTCCTCCGTAGAGTGGAAAACCCCCGACGCTTCTGAACACAGCTGTAATTACACACTTGCAAGTGGGATCAGTACAACTCGTGAATTGGTAAACACCTTGCTAGTCCAGCTTTGTTTGTGTGCAGCAGCTAAAGATTCAGACAGATTTTCTAAAGAGTTCCACAGAGTTCCAGGCTTCTTATTCAGTCGCATGAACTTGCTACTGCAACACAAGCAAGACATGATGTGCAGAATATTAATTTATTTAATCAACTCACGCACAGGTCTGAATAGAATAAAGAAAATGGTTCAGATTGTTTTGCTTGTTATTGCTGTCTCACTCAGGTGCGTCGATATTTCCCCAAACCCGTCAAAGTTCTGTCCCCTGAAGTGTTTTAAGAAACCGGTGTGGTCCACCTGGGCTCTCCACAAGACGACTGTAACCCAAGAGAAGCTGCTGCGCTACGCGTCCGACATCACCAAGCATGGGTTTGCATGCTCCCATCTGGAGCTGGATGATCGATACACCACTGACTACGGAGAGTTTGACTTTGACCCGCAGAAGTTCCCCAACGCCACTGGTATGTTCGCCAAACTCAGAGAGGACGGGTTTCAGGTGACGCTGTGGACGCATCCCTTCATCAACTACGACTCTATTAATTTTGGAGTGGCTGTGCAGAAAGGGCTGTTTGTTCGGGAGCCGAGCGGCGAGCTGCCGGCTCTCGTTCGCTGGTGGAACGGGATCGGAGGGATTTTGGACTTTACAAACCCAGAAGCCTGTAAGTGGTTTTCCTCACACCTGCACTCACTCAGAGCTCGCTACAACGTATCGTCCTTCAAGTTTGATGCAGGAGAAACTAGCTACCTCCCCCGCCAGTTTAGCACCTTGGTCCCGCTGTCAGACCCCTCCACCTTCACCCGGCGCTATTCGGAGATGGCCATCCCGTTCAGTTCCCGTGCGGAGCTTCGGGTGGGCTACCAGAGTCAGAACATCTCGTGTTTCTTCAGGATCATCGACAGAGATTCATTGTGGGGTTACGAGCTTGGCCTCAAGTCCATCATCCCCACTGTCCTGACTATCGGCGTTCTGGGCTACCAGTTTGTCCTCCCAGATATGATCGGAGGGAACGCGTACCCCAACAACACTGCAGGTAGGAAACTCCGTAATAAACAGATTTATGTAGGAGGAAGTGAAAGCTGGCCATGTTAAAGGGAAACATTCGTCTTTAATTGGGTTTTATTCTGACGTCTGTGTGTTTTAGGTCAAATAAATGGAACAAACAGCCTTCCAGACAGAGAGCTGTACATCAGATGGTTGGAGCTGTCTGCCTTTATGCCTGCCATGCAGTTCTCTATACCACCGTGGGCTTACGACAAGGAGGTGAGCAAGGATTTACACATTTAATTACATTCTAATGTTACGGGTTTGTTCACCTACAAGAAATTCATCTTATTGAGATTGAATGTTTTGTGTGTGTATTTTATGTTAATGCAAAGAAATATTTTAACGCAAAAAAGAGTAAAACATTTTCAAGGTTTGCAAAATAACTGAAATTCAATAAAGGAATTAACTTTTTCTGCAGGGAAAATCAGATTTTTAATGTGTGAGAGACACGATTTAAAACATTTTAAAGCTGAAATCAGATCAAATTATCTTAAAATATAGTGCTTTTTTTGGTTGCAGTTTTCATTAGTACCACTAGGTGGCGCCAACATAGAAGCTTTCTCAGTAATTTTAGCAACAGGTGATGCAGTTTTCTAGTCCTGAGAGGTGTTGGCTTCTTTTTAGGCCCGAGCAGCGAAAGCGCTGCGAAGGCCTCTTGTTTTTGTGCTCTGTTTATTCTTTTTTATTTATTATTCTTAGCCCGCTTTGAATGGCTTTTTGGGGACCTTACCATACCCCAAAACTCACAATATTTTGCAGACATGTCAGGCCTGGTGAAAAATTTGATATTTTAAAGGTCCCAAAAAAATCGCAAAGAAAATGGCTGAACAGCGCCCCCTAGAAAGTGAAAAAAAACCCTCTCCATAAAGCTTAGTTTATCGTACAGTTATGAAATTTGGTACACTTGTAGTACTCAACAGTCCGCACAGAAAAGTCTCTTGCAAGCATGGTCAATATCAAACAGGAAGTCGGCCATTTTGGGTTGAAATGGCGATTTTTAGCCGTTTTTGCCGTTTTTAGGGTCCGTTTCTGATTGGATTGCTCGATCATTTTTCGCACGATCAACTCAAAAATTGTGTAAAATTGCTCAGAAGGGATGGGCGAACAAAATGAGACAAGGATTCTGACTTTTCGTATATGTTGAAGGGGCGGGGCAAGGCCTCGAAGTTTGACTACTCGCCAAAAAAATTTAAATTGCTATAACTTCATAACTGAATGGAGTAGAGTTACCAAACTTTCTGTGGTCATTTGTCATCCACCCACAAAGTAAGTTGAATAGTCGGATGATGACATCACACAAGCCCCGCCCCCTCAGGACCAAAAAGGTCAAGTTTTACTGTGAAAGGTCCCAAATGGCCCCATTTCACTCAATCACCACAAATTTGTAGCTGGTAACTCAAGACAAGTGGGGGTTGCTTTGTGTCACTTCATGGGAGTTTTCGGCAGAGGGCGGGGCTGTGGCGGCGCGGCGAAGTCAGGCGTACTGCCGTGGCCTTACGTTTGCCTCCCATTTCGTCACTTCTAAAGATATCGCCACGAAACTTCTTGTGAGTGATCCTAGTCCTCCCCCACAAAATATCTGATGTGAACATCCGGTGGGCGTGGCCTATTTTCTGAAATAGCGCCCCCTAGGACCATTAAAACTGTCAGCCCCAAGCCATGCTTTGACTGAGGATTACGAAATTTGGTACACTAATGCGGTGTCTCAGGACCTACAAAAAAGTCTCTTGGAGCCAAGTGCAAAGTCGCACAGGAAGTCGGCCATTTTGGTCCAAGTGCGCGATTTAGTGGTTTTCGCACACGTTGTTTGGAGAGTGATGCTCCGTCGCCCTTTTCACCAATCTCCTTCAAACTTCTGCTATATACTCTTAAGACATAGGGGAAAAAATTCAACCGTCGGATTTTTCAAAAGTTGAAAGATGTGGGCGTGGCTAAGCCTCAAACTTTGACCTGTCGCCACGCCACTCTTTTTTTCACAGCTCCCTACTGGACTCCTTTTACCCAAACACCAGGATTCTGTGGCAAACAGCAGTAGACAAGTTGAGGTTACATTGTCTCCAGTACTGGCAGGTTTCGAAAAAAGGTGGGGCTTTGGGAGCATGGCGAAAATCGCCATCACGCCATGGAAATACGTTTGCCTCTCATTTCTTAAGTTATCGAGATATCACCTCGAAATTTGTTGTGAGTGATCCTAGTCTGACCCCCAATAGAAATGGACAGCTAAAATTTGTGGGCGTGGCCAATTTTCTGAAATAGCGCCCCCTAGGACCATTAAAACTGTCAGCCCCAAGCCATGCTTTGACTGAGGATTACGAAATTTGGTACACTAATGTGGTGTCTCAGGACCTACAAAAAAGTCTCTTGGAGCCAAGGGCAAAAACGCACAGGAAGTCGGCCATTTTGGTCCAAGTGCGCGATTTAGTGGTTTTCGCACACGTTGTTTGGAGAGTGATGCTCCGTCGCCCTTTTCACCAATCTCCTTCAAACTTCTGCTATATACTCTTAAGACATAGGGGAAAAAATTCAACCGTCGGATTTTTCAAAAGTTGAAAGATGTGGGCGTGGCTAAGCCTCAAACTTTGACCTGTCGCCACGCCACTCTTTTTTCACAGCTCCCTACTGGACTCCTTTTACCCAAACACCAGGATTCTGTGGCAAACAGCAGTAGACAAGTTGAGGTTACTTTGTCTCCAGTACTGGCAGGTTTCGAAAAAAGGCGGGGCTTTGGGAGCATGGCGAAAATCGCCATCACGCCATGGAAATACGTTTGCCTCTCATTTCTTAAGTTATCGAGATATCACCTCGAAATTTGTTGTGAGTGATCCTAGTCTGACCCCCAATAGAAATGGACAGCTAAAATGTGTGGGCGTGGCCAATTGTCTGAAATAGCGCCCCCTAGGACCATTAAAACTGTCAGCCCCAAGCCATGCTTTGACTGAGGATTACGAAATTTGGTACACTAATGTGGTGTCTCAGGACCTACAAAAAAGTCTCTTGGAGCCAAGGGCAAAAACGCACAGGAAGTCGGCCATTTTGGTCCAAGTGCGCGATTTAGTGGTTTTCGCACACGTTGTTTGGAGAGTGATGCTCCGTCGCCCTTTTCACCAATCTCCTTCAAACTTCTGCTATATACTCTTAAGACGTAGGGGAAAAAATTCAACCGTCGGATTTTTCAAAAGTTGAAAGGTGTGGGCGTGGCTAAGCCTCAAACTTTGACCTTTCGCCATGCCACTCTTATTTTCACAGCTCCCTATTGGACTCCTTTTACCCAATCACCAGGAATCTCAGGCAAATAGCAGTAGACCACTTGAGATCACTTGGTATGCAGTACTGGCAGGTTTCGAAAAAAGGCGGGGCTTTGGGAGCATGGCGAAAATCGCCATCACGCCATGGCAATACGTTTGCCTCTCATTTCTTCAGTTATCGTGATATTGCTACTAAACTTCTGGTGAGTGATCCTATTCTGACCCCCAAGAGAAATTCACAGCTGTGTTTGTGGGCGTGGCCTATTTTCTCAAATAGCGCCCACTAGAGCCATTAAAACTGTCAGCCCCAAGCCAAGCTTTGACTGAGGTTTACGAAATTTGGTACACTAATGTGGTGTCTCAGGACCTACAAAAAAGTCTCCTGGAGCCAAGCGCAAAGTCGCACAGGAAGTCGGCCATTTTGGTCCAAATACTCGATTTAGTGGTTTTCTCACACATTGTATGGACAGTGATGCTCCATCGTCCTTTTCACCAATCTCCTTCAAATTTCTGCTATATACTCTTAAGACATAGAGGAAAAAATTCAACCGTCGGATTTTTCAAAAGTTGAAAGGTGTGGGCGTGGCTAAGCCTCAAACTTTAACCTTTCGCCATTACATTACATGACTTAATAACTCCCAAGTGCATGAACAGATCTATTTCAAACTTTGTCTGTGTGATCACTGACCACATCTCAAGACAACGACAATGTGGACAGCTGACATCACCTAAGCCACGCCCCCTGACAACAGGAAGTATATTGTTTTATGGTGAAATACCCATATTTGTCCCATCTAATTTAGTGAACAGGACACTAAGGTCATACACTGTCTTCATGATGTTGTAATGACCATTCAGATCTGATAGCTTTCCAGAAAGGGAGGGGATTTGATGCCATGGTGAATGCTGGCATGACGCCATGACCGTATATTTGACTGTAACTTCCACAAACGGCCTCCGATTTGCCCGAGACTGAACATGGCAATGAACAATCATGCCCTTTAGCCAATGAGGCACAAACGGTTGGTGAATGTTATATAATGTCACCAAAGCTGACCTCAATGGGACTTTTCTGTAGTTGGTCACAGCGCCCCCTAGATAACGTTATCCTTCAAAAACTTTAAAAAACATGGTCAGAATAGCATTAAAGTTGGTCACTGTCATCACATCACCAGTGTGGTTAAGATAGAGGATTCCCTAGTGGTGAGACATAAAATATAATGGTGGGCTCAAAGGGGATGCTGAGTCAGGGTGAGGTGCGGACGAGGTGGCCGTTAGCAGTTTCGGGTGTCGGGGTGGTCGATGTTTCTGTTTCGCAGACGTAGCCTGGTGCCCCGGGCTGCCGGCCAGGCCGGAGCGGCGCGGAGCTGCGAGGGCCGAACGACGCTGCTTGCAGCTTTAATTATTAGGCCCGAGCAGCGAAAGCGCTGCGAAGGCCTCTTGTTTTTGCTCTGATTATTCTTTTTTTGTTATTCCGTGCCCCCTTTGAACGGCTTTTTGGGGACCTTAACATACCCCAAAACTCACAATATTTTGCACACTTGTCAGGCCTGATGAAAAATTTGATATTTTAAAGGTTCCAAAAAAATCGCAAAGAAAATGGCTGAACAGCGCCCCCTAGAAAGTGAAAAAAAACCCTCTCCATAAAGCTTAGTTTATCGTACAGTTATGAAATTTGGTACACTTGTAGTACTCAACAGTCCGCACAGAAAAGTCTCTTGCAAGCATGGTCAATATCAAACAGGAAGTCGGCCATTTTGAGTTGAATTGGCGATTTTTAGCCGTTTTTGCCATTTTTAGGGTCCGTTTCTGATTGGATTGCTCGATCATTTTTTGCACGATTGTCTCAAAAGTGGTGTAAAATTGCTCAGAAGGGATGGGCGAACAAAATGAGACAAGGATTCTGAGTTTTCGTATATGTTGAAGGGGCGGGGCCAGGCCTCGAAGTTTGACTACTCGCCCAAAAAATTT